CTCCCCTTTGCCAGGGACTGCTGGGGAGTTGAGGTGGCAGCTGCTGTGAGCAGCCCTGGCAGGTGTGCTGGAAAACAAGGTGCCATGGGCCCAGCTGTGGTGGCACAGGCAGTAGGGTGCTGCTGCTCAAAGCTGAAGTCCTACGGAAAGGCCTGGGGTTCAGATCCTGAGTCTGCCTGAGCACATTGGACATGCCCACAGGTGTGCCCGTGGTCCTGGCTGGCTAGAAGGCTGGGGATGGGTCACATTGTGACAAGAACCTGTCAGGAGTTCCCTGTCTCTCTCGTTAAATAAGCTTTATGAAAAATTGAAAGTTAATCGAACTATTAAGTGATATTAAAAAGAAGAAAAGATGTGGTGAAGCCCCTGTAAAAGTGGAGAACAGCCAGTCTTCGTGGCACAGACGTGGTGTGCCAGTCGGCAGTGCTGGAAGCCGTGAGGCCAACCATGGTACAGGTTCTAAGTCGACCGACTGAGTCGCTCCAGTTGTGCTCACGATCAGCTAGCTGGGGGAAAGGCTCCTGGCGATGACACCTCTTTTCTCTGACATGCTTGTGCACATGTGTACTCTCACACTCTCATGAAAGAAAAACTATAAATAAAAATAAACAGGGCAACAGTGACAGAGCCAGGAGTCTCAAGGGATGCTGGCAGGCTCAGAAGCAGAAAGCATCAGCCGGAGATGTGAGTGATGCATAATCCTCCTCTCCTGGTGACCCCAAAGTAGTGGCCACTGGAATTTTGGATCCTTTCGGAGTCCTAGGCTCTTTGGTAAAGCCAGCAGAATGCATACACACGTTACTGTTCTTCCATCCAAGTTCAGGAGCCCAGGGACCCCAGTAAAGAGCCCAGTTGAAGGGGCTTGAATGTGGGCCTAGAGAAAGACCAGGTTCCCATTTAAACTGCATATTTTGGTAATTTACAGTCTCTACTTTGAAAAAAAAAATCTTCCTATATTACTGTATTTGAAAGGCCATTTGATATAAGCTTTCATAAAATTTATCCCTTATGAGCCAGAGAGGCAGCACGACCAGGAGGGATCGCGTCACTGGCACCATCCCTATCCTCAGCCGGCCTGAATCGGGCAGTGTGTGCCCTGCTACCCGGGGAGCTATCCGGACTAGAGCCAGGAGTCTTCCCATGTGGGACTGCCTCAGAGTCACACTGCACCACTGTGCCACCCTCGGGCCCCTATGTTAATAGGTTTTTAGGTTTTTTAAGCTTTGCTTCTCAAAAAAGTAACCAATCCTAGGAATGCCCAAAAGTCCCTCAGAATGAAAGAACCCAGGAAGCTGCTCATTGCTAACTGCTTGGTTAGAGTTGTGCTCATGGCACTAGGAAAATAGAGTACTGAGTCCGAGGGGACCCTCTGAGACCAAGACAGTGTCATCAGAAGAGAGGGCAGGGCCCTGCCCACCCTTTCTGAAGCCATCCCAGAGATGTTAGAAACAGGAGCTAGGAAGCTTAGACACAGACTTGGCCCTAGCTTATGCTCTCAGGTGGTTACAACATACCAGGCACCTTCCAGAACAGTGTCTTGTTTGGGTCTCACAACCCCCTGGGATGTAGATATTCCCATCCCATTTTGCTGAAAGAGAAACTAAGGACAGAGGACCAGTAGATCTTGCCCGAGTCAGACCTCCAAGCAGACAAGTCCAGAGCTTTTCCCAGCCCATGGATACTTCCAGGAAGTCCTTGTTCACCAGGGACTCACCAGTGCCCACGCCCATCCAGACTCATCCAGACTCATCCAGTTAGACTCTGGAGTGGGACTGGGCCCTGGGATCCTTAAAGCATCCTGAGACTGGGAGACCCTACCTTACCAGGGTATGGAGGATTGGGGAGGGAGGCAGGGAGATGACAGAGACAGCAGGGCCCTGAGCTTTTGCAGAAAATATTCTCCACCTCCTTCTCAGGAAAACTGAGCCACATGTCTGTCCCTTGAGGCATGCAGCCTCCTGGTCCCTTTGTGCTCACTTTGACAGAAATGGCCACTTGATGCCCACCCTGGGGCACAGGAGATCAAAGGGGGTGCTGTGGGAGCCAGAGAGCACAAGGCTGTCTCTCTCCTCCCGTGAGCCTTGAACCACTGTCTTGGGATGAGTTTTCCCCAAAGTCTGCTAGCGACGCCCGCAGGTGCTTTTCCACACACTACGCTGTCAGGCACAGGCCGTAAACAAAAGAGGGAGTGTGCCTCTCCATCCAGAATCGGAGGCAGAGGTGGCGAGGGGCTGCCAGAGGGGGCAAGGTGGGATTGCCTAGGGCAGGGACTTCTAACTGCCACCCAGCATGGCATGGTGGATGGGCGACCCTGCTGCCACTTCCAGCCTTCTGGGCCATTTTGGGCAGTGCCCTCTCTCACTGGCATGGATCTCAGATTCCACACCCCTTCTGGGACATCCCTTCTCCCTTTGCCACTCCCCAGCCAGCTGCTGGGAGGCACTGAAGGCCGCAAACTGAGCAGCTTCCAGCATCTCAGGGCAGGTGTGGGCGGGAATCCTAGGGGGCTCTGGGCTGCCTTTGTGCTGAGACTAGAGACTGTGCTGGGTCCCGCGGAGCTTGCTCTGGAGCCTAGAATCTGCTGGGAACACCAAGGCGCAGCAGCCTCCCCATGGACACATCCATGACAGGCAGACTTGGCTGAAATCCGATTACAACATCATTGTTTAACTTTACCTAAGCTGTTTAGGAAACGGGTTACGACCCCTCGACTGGAGGACTTGAGGGATGGCCGCTTCCTTGCAAACCCCAGGGGCTAGGACAGTGCTGCTCACCTTCGTACTAAATCCCTGGGTGCTTAATCTCCAGACATCCAGCTGTCCCCTCAGAATCTCCACGTTGGGGCCCAGGCAATCAGGGGCCCTGTTAAAGCTCCCAGGGGATTGTGATGGGCAGCTAAGGCTGAGACCTGTACCCAGGGCCAATACAGGACCCTCCACCTTCCCGCTTGGGGAACCTGGGCCAGCCCTTGTACACCGTGTCTAGACACAGCCTCTCCCCGACACCCCAGACCCCTTTACCTTTTTATTCCCTCCACCAGGGACATGAGTGATGTTATCCAGGGACCCGATTTTCGACTGGACTCTGTCCTTGAAGTCAAGTTTCTCCGATTTCACCTCCACCTGGCCACCTCCTGGAACACAACACACAGCGCCTTGCCCTCTCCTCCCATAGCTTAGTGGATGGAGCATTCCTCGGTGGGGTCTGCAGTCTACACAGCAAGTGCATGGACGGCTGGGGTTGCAGAAAGTAGGTCCACTGCTCTGGGGTAGACAGGGACTTTCAGGTCTACACCATGACTTGAACAGGACTGAACAAGAGATCCTAAATAGAGACCAGCCTTTAGGAGTGGGCTGAAGGCCCTCCTTTACTTAGAGTATGGTTTGCTTCATCTCTCTAATCCAGGTGTACCTCAAGTATTTACTCTGCGAACTCTTTAGAAAGATAAAAGACAGGGACCAGCCAGGTGGCATGGTGATTAAGGCGGTTTGAGTCCTAGGCCCAGCCACTTGAAAAAGATGTCAGGTGCATGTACAGGTGTGCCTATGATCCTGAGAGGAGAGGGGACTGCACCATGGCCATCCCCCCACTCGCCACCCTCCTCCCTACAGCAAATGAAATCATAGTAACAAAGACAGCTCAGGGCAGAAATTATTCTAAATTCTAAAGTGGTTGACTTCCAGTGAGCAGTCTTTCCATATCAACATCCCGTCAACGACAGCCCAGCAGGCTTTGGAAATAAATCGGATGTCAAAATGCACTGAATAAGGAAGATTTGGGCCCTGTCTCCCTCTTTGACCCTTGATGCCATGCGCAAGCATGGGAGATGTTCATGAGCAAGAGATGACCCACGTTGCTTTCTTGGGAAGGATGAGGGAAGTTGCTTACGCTCAGGACGGTAGCACGAATTGTGACAGTTTTCACCGGGAAGAGTGATCCACAAAGCATGAATGGGAGCCAGAAAATGATGAGACAGCGTGGACTAAACTGCTGATGGCCTTCTCTTCCCACAGTGAGTTCAAGTACAGCCTCTGCCCTGAACAGAGCCTAAGGTAGAAGTCCTTGCTCTGGACTCTGAGGTGGGAATTAGAATCTAGACCTGTGTCAGGGCTGGCAGGTGGTGTGGTGGTTAAGGATGCTGGATGCCCACATGGCCAACCACAGTTCTAGTCCTGGACCCAGCGGCTTGCTTTCTCTCTCTCTTACTCTGTCCCTCTCTGGTCAAATTAAAATAGATAAATAAATATACAAATAAATTTAAATAATTCTTTTTTAAAAAAAGAAAAATAATTTAGACCTGTGTCATCCAGAATGGTAGCCACTAGCCACATGTGATGATTTGAATTCTAATGACAGAAAATTGCAATTTCCCAACTGCATCAGCCACACTTCAAGGGCTTAACAGCCACCTGTGGTCAGTGGCCACAGTGACGGCGCTTGGAATGTCTCCTTCATTGCACAAGAGATGTATGGGCCACACCGACTTCCCTGCTGTGAGGGTGATCCTGTTCTGTTCACACACATAGTCACAGCAGGAACATGGCAATGGCCTAGGAATCCTACGTGGTAGCTGGTGCAGCTGAAGTAACCCCATGTTGGCTGGGGACCAAGCTGGGACGTCCACATAGCTGGCTCTCAGGAGCCTGATCAGGCCCACCGCCAGCTCTAGAGGACTTGTGGACAGCCTGCTTGGAGAACCACGGGTTGGAGTTCAAGACCAGCATTTGGGGCCAGCAGGTGGCGTGGTGGTTAAGGCAGCTGGACTCCCACATGTTTGACGGTGGTTCGAGTCTCAGACCTAGCAGCTTGCTTTCTCACTTTCCTGCTCTCTCTCTCTGTCTCTCACTGATCAACTTCTAAATAAATAAATAAAGACAATGAATAAAATAAATGAAAATAATTCTTAAAAAAAAAAAAAAAAAAAGATCAGCATTCCCTCTTCTCCTCACCGTGTCTGGGCCAGCATGGGCCCTGCTCAGGAGGCAGCTGGTGCAGCCCGCCTCCCAGGCCCAGCAAGGGTCACACTCCCTGGTCTCTTTGGTGGCCCATGCAAAAAAGCCTTCCCAGCCTCTGCGGGAGGCTCCAGCAGACCCCACCCCTCCTTCGTGCCCCACAGTCCCCTTCCCGGGCACTACCTGGTTTGTGATGGATGTTGCCCAAGGAGCCGCACTTGGAGGTCACCTTGCTCAGGTCCACTGGCTTGTAGACTATTTGGACCTGGGGGCCGGAGAAGTTGAGAGAGACAGAAACAAAATAAAGTGGAATTATTTCATTATGGGTGTGACAGGATGAGAAGCAGCTGTGTCAGCCCGGCCCTGCCTGGACAGTGGTTCCCATCTGCTATGAGGAACACACCCTCATCAGAGTGGAAAAATGCGGTGTTGAAATTCTGCTAACCCTGCCCCACGGGAGTCAAGTCTTCACAACCTAACTGTGGGACGGGAGTGTCTTCCATCCCTGCAGAACGGAAGACCTTCAGGGAAGAACAGGGGCACTTTGTCACTGTGCAAGGCCCATGCTGTTCATTTAGCAGACACATGTGAAAAAGCCACTCCCCTTCCTGCCCTGAAACCGCTCACGTTCGGTGAAAACGCGAAGAAGCGATCAGTGTGATCAGCGTGTGCAGAGTCTGAGAAATCTCGCTGGAAAGGCAAGAGAGCGGGCTGTGTCTGCTGGTCCTCAAAGAGGAGTGGGTGGTGTGAGGTGGGCTTTATTCCAGAAGCTTCCGCAGACCCAGCATCCCCACCAGAGCAAGCAGGACCCAGAGTAGCTCTGACTCAGTTAAGAGCCGGGGCACCTGCACACGCCATGTCCTGGACAAAGGAGCAAAGCGACACCAATAGGAAGAGCAGGCGGCACCAAGACGCAGTGACTAGCAAGCTCCAGTGGACTTGCACACACACGGGAGGCCTCTGGCTCCAGGGCAAAGGGCGTGCAGCCTGGCCACACTGTCCGCCACGAGCCGCCCAATGATCTCAGCCCAGGAACCAGCACCCGGGACGGGGCACCCCCACGGGGTCCCTGTAAGGAGGCCAGATGGCCTGTCACTGACCACATGGGATCCACTGAAGGTGCAAGATGCCAATCACCTACCCTGGACTCGCCCAGGGAAGTGAGTTTATCAAGGCCACAGGAAAAAGTGGGGGCAGCTTTCTACTTAGGTCTAAACTGGAACAAACCCTGATTATTTTAGGTAACCCGAGTCATGTTGGCACTTGCTGGCTGGGGAGCCAGTGGAGGCAGGTGTGGCCCATGTGTGTCACAGCGTGGGGAGGACGCAGGGTGGGAAGGCGGCTGCAGAATGAACACTCAGGCAGACCAGAGGTGAGCAAGGGCTGGCTGGGACTCCTCTGGCCCCGGAGGTGGAAATAAGAGTTGGTGTGACCAAGGCTGCCTTCTCTTCTGCCTCTGGCCAGGGGGAGTAACCTGTGAGAGCGAGGTGGGGCTGGGCAGGGGCAGCCGATCCTGGCAGGAGTGAGGGTGGGAGCTGGGGTGGGGTGGCCAGGCAGTTGGGAGGCGAGGGGAGGAGGGCAGGCCCAGAGAGCAGCCCTGAGCCCAGTCAGGGGGTAGTGAAGACCCACCCAGGAGGAGGAGGAGGAGGAGCAGCTGGGCCTGTCAGCAGGGAGGGGGAGTGCGCAGGGCCTGGTGGCCAGCTCCGCCACCCCCAACCTTCGAGAGAAGCTTCCTGTGAAGGCTCCATCTGCAAACCAGCAGCAGGCACCAAGAACAGTGCTCGGGGTCAGCATGGGCTATCTTGTGTCCACAGGCTGGCACAGTGCAGGTCACCCGGGAGAGGCCCCGAGGAAACCCTGGATGCCCTGGCCCTGCACCTTCTCTGCGCAGTCATTGAGGGAGTGGACCACACCACCCCTCGTCCCCTCCTGTCCCAACTTCACCTGAAGAAACCCGGGAGCCTCAGTCACACAACCCCCCACCGGCCAACCAGAGGTGAGAGCAACCAGAAAGCTCTCAGCCTTCCTTCTGTGGCCAGAGTGGAGAAACCAGGAAGGCCCAGCTCCAGCCTACACCAGCAACTGCATGGGGAGCCCCGGACAGGGTCCTCCACACTCTCTTCTCTAATGACGGTGGAAGACAAGGTGGGGGGCAGGAGAGCAGGGAGTGGGGGCCAGAGGAGACATTTGCAGACACTGGTGAGGAAGCGGTAACCAAGCCCCATGCAACAGCCGCACAGCAAGCGCGCTGGGACGCAGGGTGACGCAGGAGGCGGCCCAGGCTAGGGCCAGACTGGGTGCTGGGCAGGAGGCAGCAGCGCATTGCAAGAATAAACCCTCTGAGGTGCGCTCTGTGTGCTTTCTGGACAGGACGCCCGGGCTGCAGCCACGCTGACCCGTGGGGCTTGCTCTCAGAGACTACTCCCCTGGGCAGACTCGAGGATCTCGGCCTCCAAGTGCCCTGTGTAGTGCAGTGCACTGAAAAGTGTGCTTCAGCTGACCAGGAAGCTGGGAGGACGACGGGGTCCCTGGGTCCGTCCACGGCGGGGCGGGAGACCAGCCCAAAGCTCACAGGTGCACACCCACTGAGGATGCACCCTGGGGTCGTTCCAGGGAAGCCAAAGTTGAAAGGCCCCAAAGCAGCCTGTCTGTCAGTCAAACATGGATGGCAGGCAGGGCCACCCTTCACGCTTTTGTTTGGCTCTTGGCAGAGGGTGGAGCTGGTAGTAAAGTTACACTCCGCTGGGAACCAGCTCCTCCCGAGAAAATGCTGGAGACGGCTGAGTGGAGCCTTGGCTTCTTGCTCTGAGGCAAGACAGACCTTTGTCAGGGCAGATGGTCAGCTGTCCACTCAGAGAGCCTACTCAGGTGAGGGGAGGTGGCACAGGTCCCACCCACTCCAAATGGGCTGTGAGACTCCTGGGGGCCAGCATTGGGCAGAGAGGGTCAGAAAGAGGGTCAGGCATTTTCCCTACTCTACCCTGCAGGCCAGGGGACAATGCTGGGACCCCTCCTGCGACACAGGAAGGGGCGAGGTGTGGGGATGTGGGGGCGTGAGCTACATTTACCTGAGGACCCAGCTAGATCCTGAGCCTGAGAGTGATTTATTCTCTGCAATGTCTCCCAAGTATAGACGCTCATGCCACTCCTTAAATAGCGAACCACAGTAGGTGCGTGGAAAGTGTGAAGGTACTCACACTGCCGCCTCCTGGGACGTGTTTGATATTATCCTTTGAGCCACACTTGGACTGGACGTTGCTAAGATCCAGCTTCTTATTAATTATCTGCACCTTTGACAGCCAGAAAAAAGGATGAGTGACATGCCACACCCAGCCCTCGCTCTGAGGGACACACCCGCCTATTCCAGGGCCTTCTGCGGGGTGGCTTCTCTCGGAGGCTGCCGGTCAGGACTGCTGGGAAGCCCGAATTGTGAGCCACTGGCCTCAGGAGGCAGTTCCCGGCATTACAGGACTGTCAGGGGCACTTCAGGAAGCATCTCTGAAGCCTGTAAGCAGAGGTGAGGCTCGCCAGGTTGGGCCAGAGTGGAAATGTGCTCAGTCACACTCATGAGAGAGCAGACGCGATGGGCCCGTGTCAGCTCACAGCCCGCCAGGGCCGCTGGAACGTCCTCGGGGCTCCATGTGGCTGCTCTCAAGCCTGTTAGCCACCGCAATCACCTGGAGATTTTTTTTAAATCCCAAACCCCAGACCTAGAACGAGAATCTTTTTTTTTTTTTCCTTTTACATCCAGAGGACATGTGCACTCAGCAACGACAGAGGTGGGGGGAGAGAGTGAGACGGCACCCCCAGGGGTGACGGCCACACCACATTCCCTTCTCCTCCATTCTGTTCTTGGGATTCTGGGCACACACACACACACACCCACACTCACACCAGGTCTGTTTTTCAAGCTGCCGGGTCCAGGACTCAAACCATGCAGTCAGCCATGTGAGATCCAGCTGCCTTAACCACCATGCCATTGTCTGGCCCCTAGTGTATTTTTCAAGCTGCTGAGACTGGGATTCAAACTGTGGTTAACCATAAATAATCAGCTCCCTTAGCAACTGGGAAACAGGGCCAGCCCAAGATCTTTTTTTTTTTTTCCCAAGTTTATTTCTTCCTTTTAGGGAGTGAGAGAGATGGCACCCCCAACAGGATTCCGCTGCCACAGTCCATCCCCAGCCTCAGCCATCCCTGGTCCACGTGCACTCATGCGCCTGGCATACTTAGGAAGGCCTCTGGACTAGAACTGGGAACCTTTCCACGTGGGATTGCCTTGCAGAGTAGAGTATTTTCGCTGCACCACCACCTAGCCACTAGAATTGGACTCTTGAGGAGTCTGGCTTGTGTCTCCATAATTTTTTTTTTTTTTTTAGAGAAGGAGTTTTCTCGAGTTTTTTTTAGGTGAGGATTTTGCTATAGGGCACGTGCGCTCACCAGACAGACAGAGAGAGACAGAGAGACAGAAAGCGAGAAATCACCCCCCCAGGGGGAATAGCCATACTGCAAACCCTTCTCCTCCATTCTCCTCTCAGGATCTTGGGCACGCACACACACGTGCCCGGTGTGAGTTTAAGCCACTGAGTCTGGGACTCAAACCGCGGTCAACTACATGGGAGTCCAGTGGCATAGCCATTACGCTAACTGCTGGTCCCAGGTCTCCATAATTTTAAAAAGTCCCCTGGCAGTTCTAATGCACAGCCAGGTTTGAGGACCCCTGGTCATGTGGCCAGGACACAGCGGGCTTAGGAAGAAGACAAGCACAGGCGTCTTCCTGCCTTGAGAGGCTGTCTTGGGGGAGGCTCTGTGAGTGCCTTCCCTCCATTGGCCTACTCGCCTCTTCTACCTAGAATCCCAGCAGCATCCTGGGAACAGTCCTGGTTCACACTGCAGGGCCTCTGTGGACAGGCGGGTGTGCACGAGCCCATGACCGAGGCCAGCTAAGACGGCCTGGGCTGCAGCATGAGGATCCCGTTGGAGGCACCTATCTCTTGGTCTGCCTCTTTCTCTTTCTTGGAAGGAGTAAATAAACCTAAAAGAATGAGCATGCCAGTTTGATTTATGACAATTTGAAGATGGCATGAGATCTCAGCACTTCCTTTGTGCCTGCTCAGTGGGTGCCACTGCCTTGGGATCCAAAGCCTATTAGGACAGACAGTAGCTGAGCTCCAGGACCCAGACCTGCTTCAAGCCCAGCCCATTTTTCCCTTAATTCTTCTGGTATGAGTCTTTTAGTTTTAATTGCCAGAGGGCATGTGCACTCATCAGAGAAAAAGACACAGAGACAGCGGAGAAAGCATGCCCAGTGGAACATGGTCAGGCCACCATCCCTTCTCCCCACTTCTCCATCCTGTTGAGGTTTGGGGCAAGTGTGCGTACACAGCTGGTGCGTTTTCCAAGCTGCTAGGGCTGGGATTCAGACCCTGGTCGGCCTTGTGGGATCTGGCTCTCTTAGCCACTGGGCCAAGTGCTGGCTTTGGTCTGAATCTTAAAGCCTGGGAATTACATATCCTTATGTGAATATATATCATGTATCACTTTTTTGAATGTTCCTCTGATTTTGAAAAATAGAGGTTAAAAAAATAAAAAAACAGGGACCAGCAGATGGTGTAGTGGTTCTGTTTCTGGACTCCCACATGGCTGTCTGCGGTTCGAGTCCCAGACCCAGTGGCTTGAAACTCATGTAGGATGCTTGTGAGTGCATGCCCCAGATCCTGAGAGGAGAGTGGAGGAGAAGGGATTGTGGCATGGTCACCCCTCCCAGAGGGTAATTTCTCTTTCCTTCTCACTGTCTCTGTCTCTCTCTGGCAAGTGCATGAGCCCTAAGGCAAAAAAACAACTAAAAAATAAAAATAAAAAACAAAACCATTTTCTCATTACCCTAACCACTTAAATTTTGTATTTCCTCAAAGTCTCATTTATATATAACTATCATTCTATACATTTAAGTGGTAGAATCATTGTGTACATATAACCTGTATCTTGCCTCATCAAATAATATTCTGTCTTAACCATTCTGTATAGTCTACAGTCATCAGTAGCTTTATTTTTTAGTGCATCTTTTTTAAAGAATTATTTAATTTAATTTTTTTTGGAGAGATTTTTTCACTATAGGGCGCGTGCACTCTCCAGACAGAGAGAGACAGAGAGACAGAAAGCGAGAAATCACCCCCCCCAGGGGGATGGTCACACCACAATCCCTTCCCCTCCATTCTCCTCTCGGGATCTTGGGCACGCACGCACACGCGCCCGGCGTGAGTTTTAAG